GTAATCCCTACTGGCAGGTGATAAACCATGATACACAGAAAGGTGCCTTCCTGGTGGCACAAGGGGTTAAGTCTCAGCACTGTGAAGCAATCCACAGTCACAGCATCATGTGTTTGATCCCCAGCCAGGGAGTTAACCCACATGGCCCGCTGCTCCCCTCAGCAGTGTATTTCAGTCAATCTGCCTGTTCTGCTCCCCAATCTGTCTCTGGTGAGTCCTCTCACTGCCCCCCACACCTCAGTTCTACATCCCAGCTATTGTATGCATATATAAATAAAATAAATCTTTAATTAAAAAAAACCTTGATATTCAGAAAGCTTAAGTAATTTGTGCATGATTATATAACACATAGAGTCAATATTGGAAGACATGTCTTCCTGACTGCAATCTTTATGGTAATAACAACAGTATTTACAATTTTTACTACACTGCTTTTCCTCTTGTATCAAATATAATGATTTGGGATTAATATTTTTCATATTATTTCTAGAACCAGTTTAGATATTATCTTTGCAATATTACACCCAGTTATCTGAACATTTATTTGCTTGACTGTTGGAATTTCAGAAAAATAAAAATGTCAGAAATTCCATTCAAACCTCTAATTTAATGGAGTATTCTGCAGGAGTCTCTTACTCAGTAGAATCATTTAAAACTATCTGGATATGGTTTATTTTTCAAACAAAACTATCACCCCTATCCCTCCTTCTCCTCTTCCAATCAAGCATTTTTTGCCTCTGTCCTGATGAAAGGCAGGTTTTCTGCTTACAAGCAGATCTCCTGCTCACAAATACAGGGTCTGTGTCCATTTTCTTACAATTTTTCTTTTACCACTTTCACCCTCAATGGGCCTCTATCCTTCCTACCTTGGCAGAATCTGTCTCATTGGCATGAGTTCCGCCCCATTGCATCTTGCGGCAGGGTAAGGCTGAGGGCAGGGGTGGAAGCATCAAAGCATGGTGGAAAGTAATTAGACAAGGGCCTCTCACCTTTTTACCAAAACCCATAATACCATGGGCATGTCAATCTCTTGTATCCTCATTAATCAAATGGGAATAACAATATAATTCTAGTCTTCAGTAATTGATTTGTTTTTATTGCATTTGAACAGACGTATTTTTTTTTTTTTATGTCCACTATTAGGAAGGAAACAAACAAGCTAGCACACATTTTATTTTCGTGGTGCGAAGATTCAAACAAAAACAAACCCTAGAATTCTGACTGTATTTTTTTTTAAAGATTTACTTATTTATTTATATAAGCACTGGGTACAGTCAGAAGAACGGGGCGGGGGGGTTGTGTGTGTGTGAGAGAATTCGCCAGAGCCAGAGCAGGGAACAGAACAGGAAGACTGACGGAATGCACTGCTGAGGGGAGCAGAGGGAGAGACAGGAGAGGTCTGCCATGCCTTGTGGGACCCTCACCGGTGGCCGGGGATCGAACTGGCGCTGCAGAGGCTGTGGGCAGCTTCAGAGCCCAGCACTCAACTGCTGCACCCAGGGGAGGCTCTCTGACTGTAAAATTAAACCTACCAGTTGGAGAGTGGGAGGGAGAGAGAGGACAAATGGACTACAGTGGAGAAATATAGGTGCCCTGGTGGTGCGTGTGGTGTGTAACAGACCTCTGAAGAGATGTGATCCTAAACCTCTGGGTCATATACAGTATCCTAAACCTCTGGGTCATATATAGTATGGTAAAATGGGTATTTCTTAAAATACCCATTTAAGAAATATGAACACTTTAAGTTGTGAGCACTTACATGGATGGTATCAATCTAGTGGAGTGGAGGCTAAAATGTTGTAAACAGGAAGACAAAAAAAGTAATAATAAGTAAATTAATTATATAGCATGTTAGTGCCAAGTGCATGGATAAAGTAGAGTATTGTGGCACCAATAAATGCTTAACTACTAGCTATTATGAGGGAGAGGGGAGGGATGATCATGATTTATAACTTATGCCAATTTTGATAGTATAAATACTTCAACAAATATTCTAACAATGGTAGCTATGAAATTACCAATACCATGCTATCAGACATTTTAGAGCTGAGAACAGTTATACCTAGTCAGCTTTCATTTCGCTGGTATTAACTAGCTCCAAAAGTTCTACTACTAAAGTTCATGGAAGGTTATGTTTCATTGCTATCACAGCTACAGGCTGAGTTCAATCCCCAGCCATGGAGCTAACCTACAATGGCAAAACAGACTCTCTACTTTCTCTTGTTGCTCCTCTCAGCAGTCCACTTCAGTAGATCTGCCTGCTCTGCTCCTCACTCTGTCTCTGGTGAATTCTTTCACCCCTCCTACCTCTGGCCTATACCCCAGTTCTTCTACACAAAAAATTATAGTTCATGGGTGGATATTACATTGAATAAATATTATTAAGGCCTCAATGTAGCAATAAAATATATCAGATTAACTTATGCATATATTTAAGGGAGGAATGGTCCACACAGTGAAACAGCCTGTGCAAGAACATGGTGCAGAAGAATGTTTGGTGAGGTCTGGTAATAAGAAAGCCATAGAAAAATGAGGAAGAAAGAAAGTAGTACATATAAGGGTTGCATCACTCAGGATTCCTGCATAAAATAGATGACATACTCAAGTTGATTTGTATTAGGAGAGTTTATTTACAGTTAGACCAGGGTTTAGGAAAACTAACAGAGATATTACAACGCCCAGAGACTGGCAATAGCAATCACTGCCTCTGGACATAAAGGCTAAGAAGAGAAACAGGTTCTTGGACCATGAAGCAAATTGTTAAATTGTGAGGGTCATTTGACAGAGGTTCTTAGCAGAGGAACGGAGGTGATCCAAATTGGCTGAACAGAAGAACCTCTGGGGACCCCTTCACTGTCCTCTGAAGCCCCCATTAGCAGAATGGTAGGTGCCACCATTAACAGAAGCCTAAGCTCAAGGGAGCACTTGTTATAATCCTAAAATTCATCTTTCCAGTGCACGGATATAAGTAAAGAAGGATGAAGATTGAGTAATGGGACAAAACAAAAAAATATCCAGCACAAGGTCAGAGAGGATGCTCTATCAGAAGTAATTTGAGGTGGGGGTTAGAGTATAATAACTTTGACTTTTACTCTGTAAGAAGTTACTAACATTATTTCTAAGTAAAATGCCAAGAAGCTCCAACCCACAGGAGGGACCTACATTCCTACATGCTACCACATCAGGAACTTGGAGTCTATATTGAATGTGTCTCCTATGGATTCATCAAAGTTACCCATTAGTTGATTTTTCTCTGTCTCTTCCTTTCTTTTTACTAGGTTCCAATATTTGATCTTGTCAATATTCCCTGGATTCAAATCAGTGAGTTCCTCTTCACATGATTGTGCCTGACTACCAAATTCTCCTCTGTTTTGCTCTAGCCCACTACTTTGTCTTAGAATATGGAATCTTTAGCATGAACAATCTACAAATCAAGCAAAATTTTATGTTATTAATATGGTTTGCTTCTTAGAGCATCTCAGTAATGTTTATTAAACTAAACAAGACAAACAAACATGCTCTCTATGGACAGAATGAGAATAGAATCAAATGATAAAGAAAGCTAAGAACACTGTCTACTACACAATTAAATAACTTGCTCCGGTTTTTGCCATTTGATAATTTTTTAATTAATATATGTTGCTTTATTTTAATACAGATTTCTCCCACAAGTCATTATCTATCTCAGGAGTCTGACTTATATTTAAAAGAGCAATGTCTAAAGACACATCTCTGTTCCCTTGATGTTTGACCTGAATATCACTGTATTTTATATTAAATCAAAGGAATCTCATGTCTTGAGCTAGCTCCAAACTAGTTACAGTAATGGAACACAGTTCAATGTTTTAATCTAGAACCTGATTAACAATTTTCAATATTGAAATTTGATGAAATTTTTGATCAGGGTCTCAACTCTGCCAATCATTCGTGTATCACCTGGGAAAAATTATGTACCGTTTTGGAGCCTCACTTCCCTCAGATGTGAAGATGAAAATCATTTCTGTGTGTTTTAAATTAAACAATGAATTTACCATTTTTTCTACTTTATCTAATAAAATATGGGGAAATGTCATTTTTTAATTTAAAGATTTATTTATTTATTTATTTATTTATTTATTTATTTATTTTTATACAAGAGCTGGGGTAAAGGCCAGAGGCACGGGAGGGTGAGAGAATTCACTAGAGACAGAGCAGTGAGCAGAACAGGCAGATGGACCAAAGACATTGCTGAGGGGAGCAGCGGGAGACAGGAGAGGTCTGCTGTGCCATGTATCTCCCTGGCCGAACAGGAATCGAACCTGCATGGCAGAGGCTACAGACAGTGTCACAGTGCTGCGCTCAACCCACTGTGCCACTGGGGAGGCCCAGGAAATGTCATTTTTAATATGATTATTCTACCAAGAGAATCACATTGGTTCTAGCTAAATTAAATCTGGAAAACTGCTATTTTGCACATTAAAACAATAGACATTAATCATGTGGTATTTTCTGACCAAAAAAAGACAACGTGAAATCATTCATTACCCTTGAAATTCTCAACATCATGTGGATTTTCAACATTGATTAGCATTAATAGTTACTTTTTAGTGAGTTATTACTAGTGATGGTGTCACGACAATCTAAACAGATGTCTGTGTAGTGCTTACCAGTATAATGGAAATTTAACAATATTTGTGGAATTAATTTTCTCATCAAACAGCACTTCACATCAATTATCCCAACAGTTAATATTATCTCCATTTGATAAATGAAGCTAAGGAATTAACTTCATTTCTTACCCATTACTGCAAAACTAGAACTCTTTTTTAGGTTCTAACTTTTATTTATTTATTTTTTTCTGTAACTCTCAGGAGTGGCTTCCTTCAACAATTTACTTTGAAAATGTTAATGACCTGATGATTAGAAATCCAAATACAGGTATCTGGAACACCACATTTCTTTCTTCCTCTCTTTGACACAGAAGTGGAGGCAAGTCTTTAACATAAAGGTGTTTTGTACAGATCATCTGTAGCCGATCGGAGGAGTACAACAGCCTGCAGACTGTGTGTGATGGAACTCCTGAGGGACCATTACTGCGTAATCCTGGAAACCATGACAAAGCCAGGACGCCAAGACTCCCCTCCTCAGCTGATGTGGAATTTTGCCTGAGTTTGAACGAGTATGAATCTGGTTCCATGGATAAAGCTGCCAATTTCAGCTTTAGAAACACATTGGAAGGTAATCCTTTCTATCACTTTATTTTTTTTTTTTATTAATTCATGTTTATGGACCTCATCAAAAACCTTGGACTCAGAACTGTTTGCAAATTCAGAATTTTCTGGGCCTTCCCTGGTGGTGCAGCAGTTGAGCACTGGGCTGTGAAGCTGTCTGCAGCCTCTGCAGCGCCGGTTCAATCCTGGCGGGCCAGGGAGATACCCACATGGCGCAGCAGACCTCTCCTGTCTCGCCTGCTGCTCCTCTCAGCAGTGTATTTCGTCAGTCTGCCTGTTCTGTTCCCCACTCTGGCTCTGGTAGATTCTCTCACCCTCCTGCACTTTTGACTATACCCAATGTTTGTATAAATAAATAAATAAATCTTTAAAAAAAAATTCAGAATTTCCTGAGTTAGGTAAGGGCCTGTGTGGATATATGTCTAAAAGCCCTAGCAGAGCTGGGCAGCATGTATAATACATATAATATGTACAACGTATTATGACTATTCACAAAATGTATGGGCCTACCTACCATGGCAATGAATAAAAACAGCAGGCAGCTTACTGGTGAGTAAGCTGAAAGATATAGACACCAAACAAAAGAATACCATTTCAGAGCTTTTTGTATCATTCCATGGGATTATAGAGCAGTACGGATCTAAGCATATTTTCCCAAGTGTTAGTATTTTTCCTCTAGTTAAAAAAATTCTAGACACTAAACTCTTTGAAGTGAGTTCACTCCCTTAACTAGAATTAAAATAAAATTTGTGTTAATGTCCCTGTATCGTTGAAGATTTCTGTGCATCATTGATATTCCTTCTCTAGCATCACCTAAATTCTATTCACTTCTACAAAGCTCACAATCTTGCTTGCATCCCCCCTGCTACCATCTTGTTAATTCATTCCTGCTCAAAGCTGTCCTGGTAGTGAAACCCACACCTTTCACCTCTTGCATAGAGGTGAAACAATGTTGCAAACAAACAAATAAAAACAAACAGCATTCATTCAAGGCATAGGTTTAACAGGAGTTTGAACAAGCTTGGGGGTCTAACTTGTGGCAAGGCAGACAAATAAAAATATAGCACTGCACATTCTATCTCCTAAAATATCTTTGAACCCTGCTATGTCGAACACCTTTTCCACTTTCTCTATTTCTCCTATTTGTTTTCTTGTCATTGCAGTTGTTGCTTTATCATTTAACTTCCGTTGTGGAACTATACAGAATTTTAGTCTCTTTCGTTTACCTGAATCTCTATGATCCATCACTATAGGGCCTTGCTCTCTCCAAGTGGCAATTTATTTTTTTCTAATTTTTTAAAATATTTATTTATTCATGCTTACAAGAGCTGGGGTGCAGGCCAGAGTTGTGGGATGTAAGATGATTCACCAGAGACAGAATGGGGAACAGAACAGGCAGACTGACTGAAATACACTGCTGAGGGGAGCAGCGGGCGAGACAGAAGAGGTCTGCCGTGCCACATGGGTTGCTCCCTGGCTGGCCAGCGATTGAACTCGTGCTGCAGAGGCTGTGGATTGCTTCATACTGCCGTGCTTAACTCCTTGCGCCACTAGGGAGGACCCCCAAGTGGCAATTTAAACAGAGTATCACCCTATAGAAGAAACCTGGTCCTAGTTGTTAAAAATAAGAATTATGCTTATCCTTTATCCTCCTAACAGTAATATTGTGATTAACCTTTTCAAGCAATCACTTTGTGCAAGACATTAAGCCAAACTTATCTCACTTAATTCTTATAACTGCCTCTGAGGAAGACAAAATCATCATTCCCAGTTTATTTTTTTTAAAGATTTATTTATTTATTTTACACAACAGCTGGGGCACAGGTCAGAAGTGCGGGAGGATGAGATAATTCACCAGAGCCAGAGTGGGGAGCAGAACAGGCAGACAGACGAAGACACTGCTGAGGGGAGTAGCAGACGCGACAGGAGAGGTCCGCCAAGCTACATGGGGTTCTCCCTGGCTGGCAGGGAATCGAACCGGTGCTGAGGACACCCTCGCAGCGCGGTGCTCAACTGCTGCGCCACCAGGGAGGCCCCATTCCCAGTTTAGAGAGAGGAAACAATATTAGAGAGCACCGTGATTTTGCTATCACTGCTCATTCAGTAAATGGAGGAACCAAAGTCATTTGTGTATTTCTCCAGTTCTAAAATCCAAGAGTCATTTCAATTGTTGTCTGACTACTCAGACTGGGTTGAGAGTTGATGAAGGTGTACAACATGACACTGGCTCTTCAACAATGTAATACAATAAATTCACAATGCCCAGGGATTTCAGAGCCTGCCTGCTGGGTCAAAGGTTCACCCAGCATTTGGCAGTCACCATCTGGGAGTTTGGGTGTCCCATCAGACTCTGCAGAAGTTAGCAGAGAACTCCAAATACTGACTTATTTGCAAAGTGTGGTTTCATCCTTAAGGAACTGCAGTAATTTACATATTTTTCAGGCAAATTTTCTAGCAGTGAGTAAGAAAGTATGACAGTCGTTGTTAAGGAACATGGGCTGGTTTCAAAATAAGGAAATAGACTTTCAGTTGTCTGGTCCTCAACAAAGAAACATGGCTTACATTGCTGTAGCGGCTGGAAGTCACAGAGCAGGTTTTCTAAGATCTGAGCAGACCAGACCCGTAAAGGAGAGCCCTGTAGCCCTCGGTGGTTTCTCCAGCTTTTATTGAGCTTTACAAGTAGTGCAGCAACCAGGTACACAGCAGGCAGAGGTGCGGGGGCCGAGGGTGTGGAGGGGTGGGGTGGTGGAGGTGGCAGGAGACCAGCAGGCCTCCAAGCCCCCAGCAAGTCTTCACTGTGGGTTTCTTTCTTTCCTCTCTCTCCTGCATCTGCTTCTCTTGATGAATATACCAATACTGAGCCATGGCCCACAGAAGTAAACAACACGGCTTACAACAATGCAACAATTGTGGGTGCCCCATCAGGCAGGGCAATCCTAATGGTGGGAGGGCAGAAAAGCCTGGAAACCATTTACCCTACAGTTAGGAACTTCAAATTGCACCTAACTCACCACTTAGCTTATCTGCCGCTGCTGTATGAAGCCCATGGGCTGGAAAAAAAAAAATCTTAGAAAACATTGAAACATTATTCTCAACTGCCATAAGGATTTTGCTTAGAATGGGCTTATTTTTAATTTTTTTCATAAAATTTTAATTAAGCTCACAGAAAAATTGAAATAAAAACAGAGTTAATACATACATGCCCTTTATCTACATTCACGTACTGCTTATATGTTATTTTGTTTGCTTTCTCTCTCCCAACCCCAACCACTTGAAAGTTAGTTGCACACAGCAGAATCCCTTACCCTGGATATTTCAGTGTGTGTTTCCTAAGAATAAGTCTCTTAAATAATCAAACAAGTTTCAACTTTAATAATTTCGATATTGATATAATATTATAATGTAATCTACTGTTTCTATTCCAATTTTCTCAATAAACCTAAATATCTTTATGGCGTATTTCCTCTTTGTAACATGGTCCAGTCTAGAGTCAGGTGCCATTTAGTTGTTATGTCCCATTTGTCTTTAATCACAAGTATCTCACAGCCATTTTTTATGATATTGATGTTTTTAAAATATAATGTTCCCTATTTGGGGTTTGACTGATATTTCCTGATGCTGGATTCAGTGAATGCTTTCTTAGTCACAATTCTGCAAAGTGATTTTGTATCTTTCTAACAGGGTATCACATCTAGAGATACATGATGATCTTTGTCTCGTATTTATGATATTAATTTGGTCACCTATTTCAAGTGTCGTTCAGCTTCCCCAATGTATAGTTATTTCCATTCCCCTTACAGTTAATGAGTTGGCTACATGCAGAATTAAAAAAAAATACTCTGTGGCTATCTTTCTTTCTTCTGAGTTAGCACCCATGCCTAGTTAGAGTGATGACTTCCAACTTCTACACTCCCTTTCATTTACTGGCCAGCTCTAAGGATTGAACTGTAAAAAATCCTCTATACTCACTCTTCCTGCTCCTCTCTCTTACTATCTATACATACCTTCCTATCATGTTTTATTAACATTCAATATTTCATTGCTTTATTTTCTTTATATTCTAATTTTTCAGTCTAAATTTGATTGATTTATTCTTTATTTTTATTTTTTAAATTTTTAAATTTTATATTTTTTACATCATTTTTCATTTTTGCACAATGTATGCATTTTTGTCTGGGTTATAGTCCCCATACAATTCCCACCACCCTTGCTTTGATCATACTCCCTCCCTCCCCGCCGCCGTAGTGTTTCTCTGGTTTATAGTTGCTTGTTGTTTTTGATTTTTACTTTATTATAATTCATTTTTTCCTGGTCTCTTATTTAGGTTTTCTGAATTTCTGCTTATTTTAATTTTTCAGTTACATTTTCGCTCTTTATATGAGCACATGTTCTGCATACCCTTCACCAAACAATTCTGGCTCCTTCACATCCTCCCTTCCTCCTCCCAAGCCCTCTAATTCCTTTGAAATTCTTCATTGAGTTTGAGATTAATTTCTGTATCCTGCCATATATTTATTTGTTATTTATATTCCATAGGTAAATTAAACCATCCAATATCTATTTTCAAATTCTTACTTACTTCATTTAACATATTCACCTCGAAGCCCAACCATTTTGTCCCCAAAGCCACTATTTCGTCCTTTTTTGTAACAGTGTGGTATCCCATTGAGTATAATTCCAAAATTTTGTTGTCCATTTATCTGTTGAAGAACATTTTGGTTGGTTCCATGACTTGGGAATTGTAGACAATGCTGCTATGTACAGAAATACATAAAAGTTTTTGTATTAGAGTTTTCATATTTTTTAAATAAATACCTGATGGAGGTATTGCTGTATCATATGGAATTTCCATTTTAATTTTCTTAAGAAATCTCCAACCCATTTTTCTGAAGATTACAACGTGTATTCCAACCAACAGTGAATGGCTAATTTGATTTCACCACAACTTCACCAACATTTGTTGATTTCCTTCCTTTTTTGTTTTTCAGTATGGGCCATTTTTGCAGG